CTTCATTTAACGTTTATGTCCGACAATTGGTCAGCGCGGTTACGATAGGTAGGTTTGACCGGAGCCTGACTCACCATACTATGGTTGAACTAGTTCAACCATGCACCATACTATGACCGTGGCTTATCAGACACTTCTTCCGCAGTGACATGCATATGATAAATAGAAAGAACTCCACATGGTTCAACCATGGAACTCCACACCCACGATGCAGTGAATAACTCTTGTTTTTCTTGTGAAAAATGTCTGGAATTCAGCTTTTACCGAGCAGTACATGGATGATGAAAGTTCAACAAATAATGACCTATACACTAATTCGTTCAATGTGTAAAATTCCCAATGAACTTTTTGTAACGTGTATTTTTAAACACCATATCAAGAAAAATATCTTTTTTGATGTATCGCTGCTATATATAAGAAGCAATAATACCAAGGGCCCGACATCTGCGGCTTTTTACACTTTTTAAGATAAGATGGGAATCTTTTGATATCAAACATATCTATATACTAATTAGTCAAGCTTCAATTAATGTGAAAACGAAGTGCATGATAATTTGCTTATGTTTTTTGTGTGGTCAACAATGAGCAGCCTAATTATTATAAATAACCAACACTTATTCGATTCGATTAATAATAACCAACATTTTATTCTATTTCAGTTTTACTTGACAAAAACATTCATGGTGTAAACGCCATAAAAATATTTTTGAACGGTGACATACCTTACAGCGCGATGACCTGTCGGCGTAATAACCTTCGTAGCGACCGTCACAAGAGAAGAGAGGCCCCTGCGTGTGGCCGTTAGTACCTGCAGTTACAAGATGAGCGTCAAGTACATAGGCGACATTATTGGTACAGAGGCAGAAACATTAGCACAAAGGGTAAAACCTTGGGAAAAAGGCAACATCAGTAGTAAAAATGCTACAATATTGTTCCAAATAAGAATTTTTAGCACATAAGCAACAAAACAAATAGAAAAGGCACCATGATTCTATTAATAAATCCTCATATCTGATCAACTAATCTGTCTGATAGAACGCTCGAAGAAAAACTATGATGTGGAAGAGCTTTCACTACAGAAAGATAGATCGTGATACAGAACCAACATCGATTCATCACATACATTAATCAATGATGTAATCAGGACCTACAGAAATCGTATACTTCTAAGAAATTTGTTATCTTATCAACTAACAATACGGCAATGCAAGGCGAAAGCAATTGGTATCTCCCTGAAGGCTCGGTCATCGTTCGAACTGGCTTCTAGGTTATGAGCTAGAATAAATCAACAGTGCACTGCTTTAATTAAGTTAAACAATCCCTACGTTGACCGATATGAAAAAAAAAATAAAATAGTAAAGAAAGTAAAATAAAGCAAATAAAATGGTAATGAAAATTTTTTATTCCGCATATATTGTCTTTCGCGACTTCGATCTTTTCTTTTGACGGAGATTCGGGATGCCCAGCTACGACTCTCTCGTTGTTCTCACGAAATTCGGAAAATAACGAACCCTCCATCGAGAGGCTACCGATACAATTAATTTACTTCGGGATCATCCGACAAGACGTTTTTATATGAATTTGTACGTATATGTATAGTTGGCGCCGATTAGAGAAATTTTAGTGCAGCAAACCTTCATGAACGCGTTCATGCGAAAACGTTTGCCGATTCGATAAACATAAAGATAAAATAGAACTTTGTGTCATAGATAGAAGATTATTTTAATTGAAAAGATAAAAGCGGAGTGAAAAATTCAATTATTTGCCATTCATACAGATCGTCCACTTTCACACAAATTTACCAAATTTCTCGCATTATTAATTAAGCAGTGTTGCCTCAAATCGAGCTCAACAAGTTCAAAAAAAATCAATTTCAGGCTAAGATTAGTATTAGTACATTCGTTTGCCTCAACCTATAAAGAAAAGAACATATACTATTGCAAGCGGCATGTAAATGAAAAACAATTAATATATACAGCATCATTTTAACTTGTCTGGCTACACCTAGGATGACGACCTCATTGAAACCAACATTCAAAGTTCCTGTAAAACTGCATTTGTTATTTATTTAATAGTTTGCACAAGAAATCCAAGGTCACAATTCTGTTCAAATGCCAGTCTCCCAATGAGTTGTTAATTACCTGCAATAATTCGGATGAGGGCAACGATGGCCACGACACCAGGCACCAGATATTTCTCATACGGGGCCAACATCGCGCATACAATTAAACTTTCGATGCAATTATTTAGCTTCAAACATCTAACAAATGACGATTAAAAGTCGCTAATTGCATTGAGCTTACAGGGAACTGCAACTAAGTTGATAAATTTGCCAGTAATTTCCCTTGATCTATATCCCGTTACGAATGAATCTTAACTGAGGTAATCAAATTAAATGCTCACATCACATTTAATGTAAGATAATAAGTTTTGTCGATTGCCTATGATTAAATTTCTCAAATCCAGTGCAATTTTATTAAAGCATCACTTTTTTATTTTATATCAGTTGACGAAATTATAATTTTTGTTAATTTTTCTGTTATTTGCATTTTAAGAACGAACTAATGTTTGTGAACTACTACAAGAGGAATAAGATCGTTCCTACACATGTCATACACATGTCCAGTCACTAGGTCCTTAGTGCATCAACTGCCAAAATCTTAGCTCGCGCCTATCTGTTATTTGCATTTTAAGAACGAACTAATGTTTGTGAACTACTACAAGAGGAATAAGATCTGTCATACACATGTCCAGTCACTAGGTCCTTAGTGCATCAACTGCCAAAATCTTAGCTCGCGCCTATCTGTTATTTGCATTTTAAGAACGAACTAATGTTTGTGAACTACTACAAGAGGAATAAGATCGTTCCTACACATGTCATACACATGTCCAGTCACTAGGTCCTTAGTGCATCAACTGCCAAAATCTCAGCTCGCGCCGAAGTGAAAACTGACTTCACTCAACGTGGCGCGTGACATCTGCTGTGCGCTGGTGAAACTGTCTTCTTCATTACCATATTAAACTTCATTAGTCTTGCTGTCTCATACATGATTTGTAAGAAATATTTAGTACTTATACACTTTTGAGACAGCATATCCAAGATTTACTGCTCACAAATATTCACTTCGCTAAGTACTTTAAAAACATACCGGTTGTAATCCAAGCAGTCAATAATTAATTGAAATAATTGTTCAAATGTGATTACCCCGAATGAATTTCAGGATTTTAACACACGACATTCTTAAATGGGTAGTTCCCTGTGTAATAATTGATACCCGAATACAATCGCTCGGTGTAAATACAATAGTTCACACAGGCCACGCCTGAACCCACAACGCCTTCTATCCTTTGATTTAATTTTCGATAAAAATCTACATAGTCCATAAAAATTTACTCATTTCTAATTTAGATAATTCAAATACTACGAGTTCCCAAAAATTGTATAATAGTTTCAACATTAGATAGAATGCTGTAGTAACATTTTTGTTTGGAAATGCTGCGAAAATCTTAAGCAAAACTGATTGGGAAAGTAAAACTTACTACTTCACTCACAAGAAATCTATGTAATCCAAATTATATCAAAAATGCTTTAATTACTAAACAAAATGGACTTTTATTTACTAAAATTACTACAGATGTTTGACCTTGATTACTATGATGTCTGTGGCCAAACAATACCTAATTTTAAAACTTGGACCTGCTTTATTTGAACAAAAAGAATCTTTATAGCAAGTTAAAACATGGTAACGAACCTGCTTGGATTAACTCCAACCAAAATTTTACGCATGTTTCGGTCGTGCGATTTTTTTCGATTGTGTCTTCATCCACAGGTTGTACGTCTGTACGCGTTGAAATTTGAAGTTGTCAAAAAATTTTAAATGTAAACAAAAATTGAAATTTGAAATTTTGAAATTTGAATGACAAATTTCAAAACTTTGAAGTTGTTAGAATTTCAATTTGTCAAATGAACTCCTATAAAAAACGGAGAGTATACGCTGTAAAAGTTTTATGATTTCAATTTCAGTTACACGTTGCGTGCGTATACGGACTAAAATTCAAAGTGGCTTAGAAATTTCCCCAAAAAATTGCTGAACGCCTTAGCACATTGTGACGGTGTTCAGGGTCCTGTGATTTCTCGATTTGGATTTCATCCATATTTGGTGCGGCTTTGCGGTACCTACGATGTAATGATTATTTCGCATATATATGAACGCAGTAAAATAAGTTTTCTTCAGAGTTAATGATAATTATATCTGGTGCTTGGGCCAGGATTTTGGTTCCATACCTCTTGATGAGAACCGTGCGTCAATGAACTAGCCGCATAACTTGTCAATGAATAGAAAACGAATAAAACCCCCGACCCGACGACAAATTAAAGGCTTTTCTGAGTCTTTTTCATGAAGTTCCATCGAAAATCTTACATTATTTAGAGAGATATTCACTACAGTTTTGAAGCCCAGACCGAAAACCGGCTGCGGAGCTATACAACGTTTATATGATGACGTATTTTTCGAATTGTTTTGTGAGTGTTGTCATTTCTAATACAATCCATATGCCTTAGACTAGTCTTTAATTTAAATTTTTGGTCAACTTTAACGAATTTTGAATTTCATTTTCAATTAGGCTCATTAGCTGATGTCAGTTTAGGAGATACAGCACTGTATCTCATTGAAATAGCACGATTACATTATATATATATATATATAATTTTAAAACTGTAAAGTATTGTTAGCACTCTAAGGGAACAAGTTATACAGGGCTCTGTATGTTCGGCGGAATGCTCAAAACGAATCATTTGACAATTTCACCATGTCATGAAATCAGATATTTTGTTGGTTAAGTTTTAAATCCAGAGCAAATGGTTTCCCAGATTTAACTGACTAGACAGATTTTGATCTATTTACCGAGAATAAATTATGACGTTGTTGTTCATTTTGAGCTGACAATCACAACTGCAAATCTTATATAACCGCACCTCTGAGCCTCTAGTATCAACATTTGAGTTCAGGCCCTTTACCCCGACTTGCAAGCCGCCATCTTGTATTGAGTGATCACGGTGTACTGCGTGTTTCATAGTTTCTTCCTTAGCTGAATTTAAAGTCTACTACAATGGGCAGAAAGAAGAAGAAGCAGACAAAACCTTGGTGTTGGTGAGTTGTTGATTTGCTTAAGTGTTTATTTATGCTAGGAGGAGTCGTTAACAGTTCGTAACTTCATTCTTGCATCCTAATTCGTAATCGTGCGACTTGCTTTGCCGTCTTTCATAATTCATAGTCATTTATACAATTTTAATGTGCGAACAAAGCCATTGTTATAAAGTTGGTGTGAATTGAACCCAATCATAATTTTATGCGAAACTAGCGGAAGCACTAAATTGATCAGTATTCAGTACTCAGTAGCTAGTTGACCTACTCAGCCTGGACTAGTCTGGAAAAGTCCTATTTTTGTCTGAAATATCGCGGCTCTAATATCATATAATTTCAGTAGGTATGAAATCTCGCGGCTCGAATGTCATAAATTTTTGTTTGATTAAAAAATCGCGGTTTGCACTTCGCAAACATGTCATTTCATAAAATTTTCAACTTCCGCATCCGCATTGCTTTACCGTTTCCGCCAAAAATATCTTGCAGAAAAAACATAAACATCGTAATGTAAACAAATAAACAAAACGTTTGTTGAAGATCGCGCATAGTTGCGGTCATGTCAAAGCAGTCAGACTGTATATTAACACGTGCTGAACTTACAGTAGAGACAAATTTTATTGTTGCCGTTTGACTGTTTAAGGGTAAAATTAGAGATTTGGGGTAACACGTGCATAAACTTTGTAAATAAATTTGCATTCGCACCTCGTAAATGGCTTTTCATGGCCAAGATATGGAATTCATGGCTCGGTGAAATAGAATCACGGCTCGTAGAAATGGAATCACGGCTGGCAAATCCATAAAACCACGGCTCGAAAAATTCAGTCGCGGCTTGCCAAGTAGATATATTCCATACTAGCTCAGCCATGACTAGGTAGCTAGTTCATTATGCATACCTAATTAAACTTGTTTACATTGAATTCAAAGTGTAACACAATAAACACATTAATTCTTGACAAAGTTTCATGGCATGAAAATTTGCAGCATACCTAGTTGAATCTGAATTTTTATACCTAACTCTGGTGCGGGACTGCGGGGTGCCTCAGTTTTGACTTTTGCCCTTGCATCTTGGTCTTCATTCACCTTTTTGTATCTTCTGTTACTTTGGTCCTAAATTGTACTTATTCTCCAAGTTAATTGAATACCTAGATAAAACTTGTATAAACATAGATTAACCAAAATTGTACCTAGTTTAAAATGGTTGTATCTAGCTCTAGCCTCAAGCCTGCAGAGGAAGTGGAGAGTGGAGACCATCAATGCCATGGTCAGGAAGATGTGACAGGTGCGCGGGAATTTATTTGTCATTTTAACAACCTGCGCAGTGCGCCGTACTATGCTGGTAAAAAAATGCGCCGTGCGCTGTACTTTAGAAAGCTAAAATAGTTCTACTATTTTAGTCGACAATATACGCAAGTATATTGACTACGCAAGTCGAACTGACAATAATAAAATGTAAGACATGTCCGGGTTACTTCTGACTCTTCCGCTTGTCCGCCTTGTCAGATACGGAATGTACGGTAATCGTAAACTGCGGCTGTTATACATACGAAATGTAAACAGACAGTGTTCAGTGTTGCCATATGACTTTGGAGAACATTTCTTCTAAAATAAAGTTCTAGATTTCTCATTCACCAAATTTCAGTATCAAGAAAAATCATATATTATCGAAAGATAATTAAAGGCATACTGTACTGAGTAATAGGAGTATTATGTCTGTTCCTCCACATTCCACAAACTGCTCGTGCGCGGCAGCGCGACGTAGAATTGATGGCCGGGATTGCGCGAACACGTGCGCGAAGATAATCAATTTTCATTACATTGCGCCAACTGTGCACAGCAGTAGCTTAAAAAAAGTGAAAATGCGCGGGAAAATTCATCGAAAACATACATCATCCTGAGTATGGCATCAATGAAACCATTGTTTGAAAACCCTGTTGCAGAAAGCACCCTCAATTATACTATGATTAAGCTCCAAACCACCAATGGGATTTGGATAGGCTAATTGATCAGTTAGGTCTGCCAGGGTGCAGAAGGTGAAAGCAGCATTGCCAATATGTGGGTTTTCAAGGCCAAAGTGTTGCCAACCATTTTAAAGATGCGTCGCCGGCGCCAGGTAATTTTTAATGAAGAGCCATTTACGCTGAGTAATGAAAAACTAATTTACCAGCCACAAACTTATTTAAAATGTTGCATGCATGTGTTACCACAAATAACTAGGGTAAACGCGGTATATTTCGACACAATTCATAGTGGAAGTCTATGAAGAGAGGTACTTATGTTGGTCCACCGCCGTGCGGCGGTCCGCGGTCTTAACCCTTCGCAAGGCCCCATGCCCTTGGCCCTTGGGCCCCTGTTGCAAGTTGCAATGGTCTAAACTCAACTGTCATAAAAAAAACTAGGTGGAAAATGAAAAAAAGGAACGATAGAGTCGATAGATATGGTCTTTACGAATCGAATGATACGTGTCTCGATGTTGTAGGATGATATTTGTGGGGGGAGACAGATTTTCTATAGTACCCGTTATTTGTCCGTTTTCTATGAATATCACGTTTTCTATCAATTTTTTCGAAAAATTCACAGGAGCAAAATGTTTTTCTTTTTACATTTTACGTATGTATGTGAAGTTTCATGTCAATCGGATAATAACTGTAGAAGTTTTCAAAATGCCAGGTCGGTCCCCTTAAAAGTCTCAAACCATAATATTCTTCCTATACAAACAGTTATTCACTATTTGGTAGAGCAAGGTCAACTGTAAAATTTGACACATTTTTCGATCTCACTGGGTAGCGTGCATTGTTTCTCTTTGGATCTCAATATTTTCCCGCTAGATGGCCAAGACCTAGTGTTTTGGCAGTAGTTTGACGCGGCAGACGCGCAAATGTATGACGTCACCATTTCAACCATCAACAAATGCATGGAACTAAAACAAAGCTTAATATAAAGGAAAAACTAGAGAGGTGACGGAATTACCCACGATGTCGGAATATACTGCGTTTACCCTACTGCATTCTGATCCATCCAACATGCTGGCAACCTTAATTTTTTCTAAATAGTTGGCTGAAGACTGACAAATATATTAAATGCAAGAATTTCAATCTAAATGTGTTTTGTTTGGCAAGATCTTCCGAAGGCATAAATTTTGCTACTGAAGCATCGCCAAAGACCTTGCAATATTCATCCACTCTCTGCACAGTGCAATGTCTGAATCAATTAACAATTCTAATTAGGTACTTATTAAGGATTAACTTGTCTTGTTATGTAATGTTATAAAAGATTGAAATTCCTGGAAATAGTCGAAACTCCCATTTCAACTGGGGTCTGGGACCTCTTGTCTTGGTATTGTGACCATTGTCCAAGATCAAAAATTCCCCCAGAGTCCTGAAATTGTCCCAGTTTTTATTGCTAACTGAGACAAACCATGATCTCTCATCTCATCTTGCTTGCAAAAAAGTATCAAATGCAGAAGTCCAATATAGACTTCTAGATTGGTATCTGATGCCAATTTTAATTAGTATTTGTATGGTTTTGCATGCTTATTGTATGGTTTTATTTAGTATAGTTATTGGTTTAAACCACACTATTGTATGGTTTTATTGAGGAGTTAAGTACAGAGTAAAGACTCAAGTCAATTTGTCATGTTTCATCTAATGTTTCATTGATCTAATTTAGCTGCATCTTCTTCTACCTGTATGAATCCTTGCTTCACTTTTTCATTCTCTAATAATTAGCTAGCCAACCTAGCCTGAAGTTTATGAGTGTGACATGAACAATCAGTCATTTCACTGACAGAAATAGATAACCCTGGCGCTAATATTTACCAATTAGTTTGGGCGGAGACATGAAATCATGAATTGTTCCTAAACAGTACCAACTGAAAAGGAGCAGCCACAGTTAAAATGCAGAGTAAAAATTTATTTAATCCTATCCCTGTTTTAGTAGCTCTGACTAAATACCTTAAAATTTACTATGCTATTGCTTTGGCAGCTAATTTGAAAACTTATCCTTAAAAAATGCTGTAATATGATGAGTGCAATAAAAAAGAAAATAGTTAAAGCCAATGAGAACTGTTCTCAAATAAAAATTTTTTATATAAAAATACAATTTTACATTGATTTCTTAAATAACCATGCAATTTAAGATAGCATTGATGGCTCCACCATGCTTGCCATTGTACCAATCACAACCATCTGGTAATTTATCCTTACATTTGTGTTAAGTTTGTGTGCATTTTTTAATCCCTTCTACAAAAGTGTAAATGCTCCAAAATCCTTATTGTAGTTGTGATTTTATAATAACTGATCAATGTTATTTTCTAGGTACTGCAACAGGGAATTTGATGATGAGAAGATTCTGATCCAGCATCAAAAGGCCAAACATTTTAAGTGTCCATCATGCCACAAGAAACTCTATACTGGCCCTGGCTTGTCCATTCACTGCATGCAGGTTAGTTGATCACTTAAAAGTGAAACGGTTGCTTTTGATGTAGCTTTTGAGTAATAGCACAAAGTTAATGAAATTTGTCTGTTTTTGCTGTTGAAATATCAGGAATAATTTCCAGTTTCCAGCAACACTTGCCTGCCTAACTTATAAATAAAAATGCCCTTAATTTCAACTTTAGTGAGAAATTACACAGGCTTGTCTGTTAAGGTAATCCTATGATGAGCTCTGTACTTGGCCTTTGATTATAATTATTTTAATTGACATGGGTAACACTCTCAATAGGTTTCTTGAATAAAGTTGCATGACATTCTGAGCTGAAGTGATGGCAGTCCAACAATGGATAGTTGTGATCAGTATATTAAGTGGTGCTAAATTGAAGCAACCCAATTATTTCGGTTTTCCATTTGTTAAAGACCTTTATCAGTAATCAATCATGCCTTGAAATGCATTTTTTGTGTATAAAACAATTAATTTTAAGGTCCTGCAAAATAATCAGTGTGAGTTAGATTGAAGGAATCTGAAAGTATATTATGAAATGAAGGCTTGAAATCATTAGTCTCAAGCTTGTGAACAGTTTGCTGTCAAGGCAATAAAGATCAATGGTTTTAACTGACAAAAAAAAATCATCTGTTCAGGCGATTGTTATGGCAGGTACAATTGGTGGTTTAAGGCTGTTCTAGAAAAAAATACATATATGCATATGAAATTTTATTGAAGACAAATTTGTAAATTTGTAATCTTAGCCCATCAAGCACATTACCTATCTGATTTTTTTCTTCAGGTACACAAAGAAACAATAGACAAAGTTCCCAATTCTTTACCAAATCGAAACAACATAGAAATAGAGATTTATGGGATGGAAGGAATACCTGAGGATGACATCAAGGAGCACGAAAAGCAAAGGCAAGGTAAAGCATCTGGTGGGCGTGACGACGACGATGATGATGATGACGATGGTTCATCCCCAATGACATCACAAGGAGCCACAACTGTAACAGCTCATCACAGCTTAGCACCACAGCCTGGCCGGCCTCCACACATGCCCCCTGTGCCCACCATGCAACCCATGATGCCCCAGGGACAGCAAGGCCCTCCTCCTCCATGGGCGATGGGTGAGCTCTCTGATATTGTCTGAAGTATATCTCTCTTTGACCTTCTTTATGATGTACTGATCGTCTTATCAACATAAGTATGGTGAGGCTTTAAAGTAATTTACAGTGCAGGTACCTATATACTGCTGTGCTATTCTTTGATGGCATGGTCATGGTTTTCAATCGAGTCATTTATCGATGTAAAAATATTTAATTTTTGCTGTTGAATGAAACTGTTTCCTCATGAAGAAAGGTGATGGATTCTTATCTCCATGAATGGTTTGTTTCTAAATGCCATAATTTATTTCATTGAAGCTTGTGAATCTTACTAATTTTATTTGATGTTACAGGACAACCTATGATGCCAATGATGGGACCAATGGGTCCTATGGGACCTATGGGGCCCATGGGACCATATATGGGGGGACCCATGCGGCATATGGGTGGTCACATGGCAAGGCCACCTATGGGCCCTGCTGGACATCTTGGTCCCCATGGAGGGCCGCCACCCCCCGTTGCTACAGCACCCCCTCCCCCCCAGCCTGGCCCTACCAAGCCCCTCTTCCCGTCTGCTGCTCAGGCAAGTCCACCGCTAGTGCAATCAGGCTTTCTATTAATTACCATCTTGATTATATAAAATAATATCTACAAAAATAATCCTGGAGTCCCGACCTGAATGTATTTGAACTGTTAAGCTGTTCTGAATAATATTATTAATATTTATAATTTTTTAGTATTTAACTCTTTACTAGCTAACACTATTCGATGGAACTCAACACCTCCCAACATTACTATGCTCAATCATTATTCCGTATTGATACATCTTCCTAACACAACTAACCTGACAGGCTGGTGGACCGCCCCCTAAAACTGGCAGTGCCTTCAACCCTCAGTTCAGCTCAGCTGGCAGCTCAGGCCAGCAGCAGAGCAGCAGCGGCGGGTCCTCCAGGAATGGCAGCGACAAGGATGGCTCTGAGAAGAAGACGCTCATCACTGCCATCTCGTCGACTTCCCGCATCGTGCATCCTGACGAGGACGTTTCGCTGGTGGGTGCCAAGTCTCATCATAGGACATCATAACTGATGACACTGACATGCACTGATGCTTTAATATGATGGGTATGCGTGTAACGTGTTCAGTAGTATGTCTTGCAGCCGTGCATCCTTGGAATAAAATTGTGATACTATGAGAGAGGAAGAGTTAGAATGGTCTGGTATGTTTTGATACCAATACTATTCATTGTAGTGCACCTTGATATCATCAGAAACTACCTTTTGTACTCTGCTTGTGATAAAATGACTTGTATTGCAGGAAGAACTACGAGCTCGGTTACCCAAGTACCAGTTCACTAAACCCCGTCCAGCTCAGCAACAACAGCAGCAGCAGCAACAACAACGTGACTCCTCTCCACAGCAGCAGTCATCACGAGGCTCCTCTCCCTCGCACAAACGACCTCATCCCAGCGAGTCTCCTTCACCTGTCAGTATACCTATACCATCAAGAATTACCTACTGCAATATATCAAGGAAACCAGTGAATCAAGGTTTTGATTTTTAGCCCTGTATCATTTTAAATCCTTCACTACTCAATTGTCTTATTAATCCATACAACTTGTGAACTATCGGTGAACGCATCTGCATGAGCAGTTGCGTAATTTAGCTTATTTTTTTATATCTTGGTTGCTATCTGAATGTACATCATACACTATGTCTGATATCCATTACTGACGTGGAAACCAATCCATCCTCGCTTTCTGGGAGAATTCAAAAGACTAGATGTGTGTAAATAATTTTCCCCTCGTTAGATTTAATTGGTTGAAAATTATCTTGTGTTGTGAAAAATACCTCGAATATTTAAAAACAATAATTTTCAAGTACAAAGTTTTGAACTATTTTTTACCCAAATTAAATACATAATATGTGAATATTGCTAGTATCAAAGGTGAAGTAATGGAAAAGAAGTCTTCTCCCTACATAGTAATTGAATGCTATGTAATGAATTTTCCGAGAAAATTTATTACAAGTTTTGGTCTTTTTCAGGACGACCGCCGCAAGCAGCCTCGCGAGCAGCCACCCTCCTCTCAGGCCGCTCCGACCTCGACGGCTGCCGCCATGCCTGGCATGCAGGCCGGCATGATGATGACGAGCCATCCACAGATGGTTAGGCCTCCTGGTATGATGGTGGAGGCCCCAATGACCCACATGGGACCAATCGTGTCAACGATGGGTCCCATGGTATCCCCGATGGGTCCCATGGTGTCTACTATGGTGCCTATGATGCCCCACTCCTTGGGTATTCCCGTGACCCAATGCATGATGAGACCGGCCGTGGGGGCCATGATGCCAGCGATGCAGGGCATGCAGCCGATGGGAGGTCCCCTGCAGTTAGGTGCTATGAACGTCGCTAACGGTGAGTACTTCTCAGCTAACCTTTGTTCTAACGCCAGTCTTTGAGCCCGTGTTTATGGCCTACGGCCCTAACCTCGCCAGTCATAGGTAAAATTAATACGGGAAGTTCAGTGTTGATTCCCTGTAATTCATTTGTCTTATGGTGGTGCACGTCCTTCTTGCTTCCTTTTGTTTACCGATCTTGTTCACCTGCTTGCCTGGCTTGCACTTTATACCGGCCTTGTCATCTGAATAGTTGTGTTATTTTCTCGTGAGATGTTTCCGATACGAGTAATGCCTGCCCTGTTTTCTTATTCTAAGCTATTTCTGGTGCAGGTCCACAGATGGGTCATCCTGGCATCCCAGGGCATATGATGGGCCCTCCAATGATGGGTGCTCCTCAGATGATCCCCCGCTTCAGGTGACTGTAGAGCTACCCTGCGACGCTCTTTTTCTCTTACTGAACACTCGACCAGTGAAGGCGCGGTTCGAAAATAAGACACTGGGCTTAGGTCGCCGCTTCGGTGTTGTTCGCGCTGCAGCCGCTCATGTTAGGCATTGATGCGGCACGCTTATCTCGCTGTTACATCGAGAAAAGCTGGGGAAATGTTATTACAACCCACTGATCGTATTCTTCTACTGATAGGAGAGTGTGCATTTTCTTCTATTGATTTTTACAGATTACTGACTGGTACAGTGAGAATAATATGAAACGTTCAAAAATTCTCGAAAATTGCTGCAAACTATGTGTAGTAAAAGTAACAAACAGCCAAAAGGTCTAATTTTTGTGATCAAATCGTCTGTGTTATCGGAGCAGGAAATGAAATGCCAGAAACAGATTATTTTGAAATAATGAAATAGTGCAAGATTGAAGCAGCATTTGAATTGGTCGACTCGCTTGCGTTAGTTTATTTTCCAATATGTTTTGTTCTATGCAACGGGAGCTAAATCTAATTCTGTATTGCATTTTGTAACAATTATATTTTGACGAGGTTTCATGTAATAGTTTGTGTGCTTATTGTATTTAAAGTATGATTTAATTGTATGATATTTACGTAGTACCTTCTCGACGTGGTCGACCCTGGGCTGAGGGAGCGATCGCCAACCAACCTGCCTGTACTTTGTAAGTCTCGACTTAGCATTACCAATGGGCGCTCTTTGGCAAGAACCGGCGTCGTCCCGACACATTGCTTCTTCAATATCGTTATTAATTAGTTACATATCAACTTGGATTCTCTGCCTTGACGTATTCATTACTCAAATTTTCTTCAAGATATTCTATCTCCTGAAAACCATGAATTGGCAAGCGTCTCTCTTAATTCTTACTTAATACCTTGACGAAATACGAGAAGTAATTCCTCTGCTTCTGAATCTTTTGTTAATCTTCAGATGTAAAAAATAACTAAAACTTCTAATGCTTGCTTCTCTCTTCACTTTCTGGCCTTTTCTTGTTCATTATTTGAAGAGACTGCCTATTTAGCAGTACGCGGTGTTGGGTTGAGGCTCTTACCCTGACTTTTGTACAGTCCCTTAATGGTATCGTTGATGAAATTTGTTCGAAATTGACGCCGGTGGGCTTGAGATAGTAAAGCCTGCTGTCTTGAGGTAAGCCATTACAGTGATTCCATTGCAACTACGTATTGAAAGTGTTGACGATGTATCGGCAAAGGTTAGTCCATTCACTGATGATTCAAAAAGAATAAAGGATTGCAGTTTATTTGTGGGTTAGTGTTTTGCGTGTTTTAGTATGGCATCAATAGGCATAAGTTGCTGTAGGAACTTTTTCATGCAGTGACGCACAGATCTTTTCTCCCTAAGTTATTTCAAAATTTTCAACCACGAGCATTTCAATATTTTGACCATAATCCAATTTTGTTGCATCTCACGGCCTTACTGTCTAAGCTCTTCTGAAAGCATAGCTACCGTAATTAATGAAACCTTCATGAATAGTTGTAGATTCCTGATATCTAGGTTTGATTTCGTTGCATTTAATTTATTGTAATAGCCTCTTGCTCCCGTCTCGGTTGCACCGTCATCCAGTCTGCCACGGCGACTGTCCCTAAACTAATGCGGAATGTCGCACTGTCACACTGTACTGAGCTGACGTTCAAAGTGTCTAGTCCCTGGGATAAGGCTTGAAGTAAGGTTCAAAATGACGTTTGGCGTCTTGCATGACGTGTGGCACGCTGCCGTGAACGTATTTAAGCTTTTGTCGTACTCTTACCGTGTTATTCTTAGAACTTAGTTGAGGTAAGTTGAATAATCTGTAGGAAGGTTTTTATGGTAGTTATACATCTACTTCTTCGCGGTAAAATGTTCAGTTATTATAGAAGTATTTCGAATTTACCTATATTGCGAATTAAAGTAGCGTTGCTTTGAACCTTCTAGACGGAGGGAACTCGCTCGTCTGTTTGCGAATAGAGCGACTCATGTCGCGTGTTTTGGGCATGATGATGTAACGCGTCTCAGACGTTATTGAACCTATTTACTCACATTACAAATTTCGCTTTAGCAATGAGCACCAAAGTTTGCTTAAATATTCTGTCATGATTCATATTTCGAGTGTTGGTCGTGATTGCGGAAACGTTCCAGTGAATGTCCTAGCGTTTGATTTCTTTAAAGTTCGCGAATCCTCGAATTTTTTATGCATTTTTATAGTGCGAAATTACTGAAGTACACCTGAACATTTTACTATTTAGGGAGTTCATACATTGGTTTTGCTAAATTTGCCTAGAAATGACATCATCAGCCAGCGGATTTTAATTTTTCTGGTTGTTTATCTTGCAGCGCTGTTGAATAAGTTATGTTTGATATTTTCGGCAGCGAAGTGACGCCTCATGTCGCGTAGCAGTCAGGTAGGCGTGATACATTCACAGCTCTGGGGAGAGCGAGCAGCTGTTGGGTCCGTTCGGTTCCCCCAACCAGCGATGGTTTGGTGATGTGATCACAGCTGTGCTCTCTTATCCCGTGCTGTTGGACTCTAGGGTCCCCAAGCCCGCACTGCTCGGGCTTGGTGAATTATTATTCTCACTAGAACATCTGTTGCTGCTGCCGCGTCTCTAGTAACTACCACTCTTTATTTTTCTACTACCACAATTACTGATACTCTTGTTAAACGCAAGAATGTGGCATGGCCGGTTGGTGATGTTCATGCTTGTGGCGTTGGGTACATCTTAGCTCATATTGCAAATACTAGCATTAGCCTCATCTCACTGGTGAAAAACTTGGGTGAATAATCTGATCCTTCCACTTGTGGAGCCGACGCAAGGTGGGATTTCTTTATATTATTACAGTAAATTATTGCGTGAATGACGTTTTTATTTCAAGGTAACGTTCGTAGCATTGAATTTCCTTGTTATTCGGTGTTCTGCACCGTGCTTCTCACTTTGATGTAACCCTCAATAAATCGGTTGAATTCGAGTGCTTCTATTTTATTTCCCATTGCAGATAATCCATAATTGCATTGTCCCACCTAATTTCGTCTTGACGTGTTATGTGTTTAGTTTTTTAGCTGTGATGATACAAATCTTATTTATTCTGTCGTTTACGCTGTCACGCGATGATGAATGACTCTTTGCACCTGCAGTGATTTAGTGTACCCGTTAATATTAGTTGGCTCCACTCGTAACTGCATACTTACTACCACGTGTATATAAAATTCATGGTCTAGTCCAGGCGCGCAAGTTCAATAAACTTTGAGTTTTTGCAGACGAAAAACTGAAATTCAGTGGACCAGCATTTTATGGGATTTTTTTCATATTCTGATGATAGATAGTAGACTGATGACAATTTCGTCAATAAATTCAGGTTTCGAGTAATCAACATTCATTCGAATGATTATATAAGATACTTGATACCCCCGTTACTAACCCTTGTACATGCTGACTTCTCTATTTCTTCACAAACGACTTTACCAAAGTCCTCAAAATTTCTTTCTTTCTGCCAGGCTCCCTCATCAATGATACCTGAGGAGGTAAGCTCGAATCTTTCCATTACTTTACACAAGCCGTGCATCTTAAATTCCAAGTTCTGTGCCAGAGAACATTCACTTCAAAAGTCTTCCTCGTGCTGCACGCCTTTGCATCGTTTGTTAGCCATGTTTCTGACTTTTTGTAATAGCATTGCACTGAGTAATACAGAGTGTGGCGAGATGTAATAACCGTTATGATCTTACTGAAGCTCCGCAATAACGCTGACCTCGCGAGTTCTTTTGAGAAGACATCTCTATCCCTCCGAGACCTAAAACTTCAAAGGGCTTTTCAACGAAGTACATAAAACCTTGCTTAACTGTCCCGCTTCTATTTCTTGCTCCTGAAGCTTATACACATATGAAGAAAAACTTAAATAGTAAATTGTTACGGCAATTTATGTTTTGAATTTCCTTATTACGTGCAATAAAAAAATGTATCGTAGTGAATTGCCGGAAATCGTGAACATCGATCTTGTTGATCCTGCTGTTGAAGCAGTACTTGTGCTGCCAGAGAGATAGAAAAAAAAGTTCGTCATGTTTAAAAAAATATAGGTGCAATGTTATGGGACGAGAAGGGAAATGGCTTGCAAGAAAGCGAGACTCAGGTACTGTGGAGTTTGAATATAATTTGACAGATAACTATAGCTAGTGCGCCAACCGCTACCCTCTAAGTGCATCGCGACTAAACCTGCCATTTCACCTCATTTGAAACTAACGCCTCGTTTGCCAAATCTATCGCTGCTTAACCTGGACCTGCTGGAGGTCTATCGTAGACCAATAGAGTAAGGTAACTTACTCTATTGGGCTACGTCAACTGCCTACTAAACAGCTTAAACAAGTAACCTACTATCGTAGGTAACTTGCTGGATAATGCACGTCTGAGTTTCAAATCATTCAAAATGTATTTAGCTGGTGACAGGTGCCAGAAATGTTCTTTGCTGCTAGTGCTGGTGACAGGTGCCAGAAATGTCCTTTGCTGCTAGTTTGAGGCAAGCGTCGCCAACTAAGACCTGCTGGATACACTGGGCCCATTCTTCATCTGGCACGCAGTTAAGTTTTATTTATCGAAAATCAAATTTGTCATGACCAGAGACCGCTATTGGGGTCTGTGCTCACCCAACTCACATACCGTAGTCACTAAGTATGATACCTTGTGATTACGTAACAGCTAGCGGGTTTAATGATATTATGAATGATGAAAACGTTACGCTATAGTCACAACTCGAGTAGCGTTTCCAGGAACCCGACAAGTTCACTGTGCGGCTGCTAGGTGGCGTTGTGTATAGATACTGGATGCTGGGATTTGCATTCAGGGCTGATGAGTGATGAAAATTAGTGATCCACGACTGCGCTCCCACGGTGGTGAACTGGCGGTAATCGCCACCAATTCACTGAGCACAAAACCTTGTTTTAATTCGAAATCAAAACCAAATTGCATGAAACTTTCATTTTCACGTTAAGGAAATTAAAAGCTGCCTAAAAATTCGTGCAATAAGCATGTTTAGGTTGATTTGAGTCTGGCGGAACCTTCTACTCGGAGCTCAGACGAGATTAGGTCGAGACCACGGCTTTGTTTTTATAATTTTAGTTGAAAACGGGATAATGATAGAGAATTTGGACAAAGCACCTCGTGGTGCAATTTAAAGTAAAATATGTTTTTTTTAATAAGGTCGAGATTATGTTTGGAATAATATATAATATAGCGTATTAGCGTGATTAACAACTATCGCATGGATCGCAATTGAAATTTGCTTAAAAAAATGTCCGAATAGTCGTTTCGCCTTCACAAATAGAAATGAAAAGGAAATTTAATTCAACCCACTTACCAAAGGACAATGTTAACAGAAAGCGTTGTTATTGATTGCTGAAAGATCATTATAGATTTGACGAAGTTAGGCGTCTGTTGCTAACATTTAGCGTTTAGTGCACTCAACGAAATTGCGAAGCGAGCGAAATAACGTTTTTAAAGCGAATTGGTATTGATAATAATTTTATGTTGAATACAGCTATATCGGTTCGAAGTCGAGTGAGGCTTCTACGAGCTGCTAAGTGAATTATCCATATAATATATAGATAATTACAAGCAGACGATTTCGACCCTAAACTAGGCCAAATTTCGCGCCAAAAGTATCAAACCGGTAAAAAAATTTTGGACGTTGAACTTACAAATGCGAAGATAACTGCCTTGATTGTTTTCATTTGGCTTGGGAATTGCATACGGAAATTTGGGCACAATTTGTCTAGGTACAACTTAATATCAGATTTAATGCCTTGAATTACTCGAGCTAAAACTGATTAGTGTTTGGAATCAATTTTCATTCCACCAAGACTGATCTGTTTCATTAATGTTACGTCTCCATAGTTACAAAGATAGCTTATGCATTGCTTAATCGCCAAGTTAAATGTTCGTATTGCTGCCGATGAACGTTATTTTTTATGTTCAATCAGTTTTCGCCGAGAATAAAACGATATGTTTTATACAATGAAGCATCATTGGATATCATCGTGCGTCACATTAATTATTCTAGGGATGATCCCGAAATCTGCTCTGGATATTTTCTTCATTTTAAGGAGATGAATAGTCAATCTTTACATTTGTAAAGGTTTATTCAGGTAGGAATAGGTTAGCGTTTGCGCGAGGTTAGTTAATCAGAAGCTGGAGTGGAGAGGTATGGCCGCGGGATGGTCGATCGCCTGCAGTTCAGTAGCTCGTGGAGTAGCTGCTGCCCAGGTAATTTCCTCCTGTGTAGGAAGAAACAAAATCAATGATAATGAAAATGATTAACATGAGCTGGTTGGATACTGCTTGTATGAGAAGTGCGTATAGAACGAGCACGCAATGCACAAAATCATCAGCACCAATGATTCGTGTCGACGTATTATTAATCAAAACAAGTTAATTTTATAACCATGTTAAGAAGTTGCATTTACAATGAAAGAACAGATTGATGTTTTTAAAACTAGGAAACAGATTTTTGGATTCTGATTGTTTTTATTAGCATCATATCGTCATTTAACCGAACCTGATGAGAATCTGGATGATCCCACAATTCCACCGAAGCCTCGGTTGAACCCTCCCCTGCTGAAACCAAATCCACCATCACCGTACGTGCGTTGACCGAAGCTGTCGCCGTAGCCAAATCCATTGTCGAATCCATCGTCAAATAAGCTGTTGAAACCGTTGTTAAATCCACCTCCGAAACCATCAAAGCCGTATCCTCCGCGAGTGATGGATGATCCAAGGAAAATTGGTCGACCTCTCACGATTGTGGTGCTGTATCCATTGTCAAAGCCTCCGTTGCCGTAACCACCTCTTCCAAATCCACCGCTGTTGAATCCTCCGTTGTGAAATCCACCGAATCCTCCGTTGAATCCTCTGTTATGAAATCCGCCGGATCCTCTGCTGAATCCACCACTCCCATAACTACTTCCGCTGAAGCCACCATGTGATCCTGAACGCAATTTGACAACAGAATCACATTAAAAAATAGGAAACCGAAATGTACACGATGTGTCATTTTGTCGACAACTAGCATTGAAGTATAAAAGTGAGACAAGTGGACTCTTCCGGTTTTCGTGCGAATATGCGAGATCTGCCTTATTTCTATAGCTATCGTCAAAAATGACTGCTAGCTCAGGTTATAATTATCGAAACAAATCTGACGTGCGCTCACTGGTCATTTCAGTCAGAAATATTTCAGGTTTCTTGTACTCAACCTTCTTCTCAATTATAGCTGGTAAAACAAATTTAATCGCAAATTGGACAGCTTTGCATTTCTCTTTCTGTAGTGTTAGAAAATCTAGTGTTAGTGTTAGAAAATCTATATGATGCAGAAACGATGAAGCAGTTGTTTGTTGCCGTCGTACGCCCGAGTCTAGAGTTTGGAAACGTTGTGTGGTCACCGAGATTCGAAAAGGACAGAAATTTAATAGAGAATGTTCAAAGACGTGCAACAAGGATAATTCCAGGCTTGAAGGGCAAGTCCTATGAAGAAAGATTGAAGATTATGAAGCTTCCAAGCCTCAGTTATCGACGTCTGCGTGGGGACCTCATTGAAGTATACAAGTATACTCATGGTCTATACAAGGTCCCTGAAGGGTTACTAGAATTTGAAACAAGAACCAACACCAGGGGCCACGGCTATAAGCTAAAAAAAATTGCGCTGCAACTTCTCCACGCGACAAAATTTCTTCTCGCTTCGAATCACCGACATGTGGAACAGCCTTCCCGATGACATCGTTGGAGCTCCAAGTATGAACGCGTTCAAGAACAGACTAGATAAAGCTATGGAAAAATATATGTTCAGATTTGAAATGCCTAGCTCCTTATCGAACCCGGTGGAAGTCTAGTAGCTTCTTCAAACTATCGCCAGTCATGAAAAGATCCGGTCAAATGACACGAGTTTAGATCTATGAACAAGGCACGAAATGGAAAAGAATCGGCGACAGGCCACATCAGGCCTATACTTCAGAGCCGACATCACTATGTTATGTTATGTTATGTTATGTTATGACGGTGACAAGAAATCCCCCGAAATCCAAACACAAGATAAAAAATCCCACAGCGAGCAATCAAGTAAACTCATTTGCTTGAATTTTCGTAGCGCTTCTATGCAAATTTGAACATTATTATAGATTGATATAAATAGATAGATTATACATCTAGCCGATAGATTATACATATATTCTTAAAAGCTTCCTAGTCTTTCATTCCCCTTTCATGAGACTCGTCGAATCTCACCGATGGAAGAGCTCGAATAGCTGGCCGCTGCCACAGCCACCGTCAGCGCCACCACAGCAAAAGTCAGCATACGAGCCTGCACATACAAACATTGTTTAGTCGCAGTTTTTTCTATGACACTTGCTTAGTTTGTTTAGTCATATTAATTTCTTCGTCGCAGAACTCGTGATCGCAATGAAAACTTTGAAGAAAGCAGTCCCACATCCTAAAGTATTACGAGAATGTGAAGAAGGCAATCAAGGTGTTTTTAGTTAACATCCCCAAAATAAAAATATTCTAAAAAGCATAACTAAATGTCAGTAACGGTAACTGATTGATGAAAATCTACTTCAAATCTCCATGTTAATGTACAAAACATGAGTTATTGCATGAGTAATTTTTCTTAAAGTCAGATATAGACGTTGTATTTGCACGGCCACCATAACCTTTCTCCATGAAGCCGAGAGATGAAGCTGAAGTTTCTCATTAATAACCGATTAGCTTAAATGGTTAGTCAAGACTATCGGAATAATTCTATTCTATTTCACTGACGCAACAGAGATGAACAGTTTTTTTTACGGACTGTCATTTTCAAAATCTGGAACAAATTAATAAGATTGGATGAAAAAATACAAGATAATGCGATTGGATGAAGAAAGGTTCATTTCAAGATTCAGTATCAATTTCAACGCAAGTTCGCGAGATCCAGTGAAGTTGAACTCCAACAGCTAAGCTTCGTCAATGAGGCAAGTCCTCTAATCTTATTTCGTGTCATGTCCTGCCTTTTTCTTATAATACCAAACGATATTACAGAGAAAAAGTAAGGATTTAACTGAAAAGACCTCGCAGTGATCAAGAAAACATAAACTTTTTGTCGAGAGACAAGTTTTAGAGCGGGTGAGCTAGAAATGAACTTCCCATGTGTTAGAAAGTTGAGGGTATGAAAATGCTGCAATTTGAGAGCAAATCTCACCATGTTTTCCAATCTTGAGATGAGAAGTGAATGCGTACTGTTGATGGTTGGCCATTCGTTTATATAGCTACATGTTGATGACGTCAGTGCTACACCCATGTCAACCAAGTGATATAATTGCACTGACCTCAGGCCGAGTATGGCCTCAATTAAAGCAGATTTACTCAGCATATTCTCACCGAGCGGCTCACGAGCGTCTGACGTACATACTAAGTACAGGTAGACAACGCGAGCAATGGAAATAGGAGGCGTTAGTGCAATAAACTCTTTGATTTGTGTATGGGTCAACCTTGTGATGTGAAAGTTTTCTTCATGGACGTTTATATTACTTATTCAATTGTGTTTGCGTAGTTAAAACAGTATGCCAATGTTGATTAGAATCGAGTTATCAACTACTAAGAACTGCAGTTTAAGACTTTCCATGAATAATTTAAAAGGAAACAAACTTTTTATGCCCAATTGTAGATCAAAAATGATTCGTTATCGCCAAAAGGACAGCGTGAGTCGTTTCTAGTTTGTGAGACAATTCAATGCAGGCAAGAATTCCGTATTATTTAAATACTTTGGAAGCAATTCCAATGTGTCTCTGAGAGGATACATATAAGGTTAAAATTTCTCTGAACACGGGATCAATGATTCGTTTTATTTTAAGTCCGTCAGTCTTCATGTGCGAGAGCATTCAGCTGATAGGGTCGATCGTGAGCTAAGGAGGAGAGGTCAACAATTTTGTTCTCCTCCACACTTCGTTATAGGAATACATTCCCCGCCATATATGCTATCATATATGTATATAGTTTATGAGGATCTCGTGAGTTAGTTACGGCGCAAAAAGGGTAGAGGAATTGATCAAATAGTCGATAGTGACCGACTTGCTCGCATTCTTGAGACGATTTTTCAAAAACGATCTAAAAAACGCGCTTACGTCGCTCTTGGCCTATATGTATATAGCTCCCTAATCATTATTCAAGCTTTGCTTGCCTACACTTTTTCAACGTGCGGTGACCTGACCAAACATAAGGCAGATTTTTTTGCGTAAAAATAGGTTGTAGTCTTCACGGTTGAACAACTTTTGAGTCGCAGAGTTGCCTTTGATTCAAGTCCTTTTGAGTTGATCTCTCGCCGTCTTTTCAAGTCCTTGCAAAGGAACATTGCACGAGTGATGGCCGCATTCCTCCTTTTTCTAGCACCGATCACCTGTAGTTCAGCTTCTTAAGTAGATTCATAAATGGCAGAGCTATCATTATTTTTAGGTTTGCTTAACTTGCTTGTTATCTTGCTGTTTGTGTCCAAAATACACATTACACAGATATCGCACATTAAACCGCAACGAGAATATGAGATCGCATGGCTCATTACCTGTACACTGAACAACAAATTCCAGCATTTTTTCGTGGAAATGTGTTAAGTGATCTAGACTAATTCGGGTCCACTGATTTAAAAAATCATAACTGATTTGCTCTGTCACGGCAGGATTTTTAGTCGCAATAATACTTATTGGCCTATAAGTGATCATTTCAATGAAATAAAATACTTCAAGAAGAGCAGTAGGCCGATGTATCTGGTTGACACAGCGTGAAGCATGTGGCCCTTGTCGACCCAGCCAAGATTATCCTTAAATTAACCAAACCCAAAACGGCTTGGTTGATGAAAAAATGTTCGGGCAAAGGACCTGAATGATCGAGCGTTTGTTGTTATACATGAAGGAGAAGTTTGGCATCATTATGTTGGAGGCCATGATCGAGGCTGAGGTCTTTCTGGACCTCAAATCCGAAATCAACAAATCTATAGACAAAAGAGTCGATAGCGTGGATGATCTTCTAAGTTGTGGCTGACAATTTCTTAGGAAACGAGCGCGCGGACAACAATGCAGAAATAGGTAGTGCAAACGCTGCTAGAGTCATTCAGGATATTTGAATCCAGGTTGTCCCTCAAAATCCATCTTCTACACCCGCACCTGAATTTCTACCCTATAGCACTATGGGTGCGTCTCTGACGAGCAAGGCGAGCGATTCCAGCGTGAGATTTCACTCGCGGAGACATGTCATGGTTCAACCATAGAGACGCGTTACCAAGGGCGGCACAACTAGAACGTGATACGCGACATCTAGCTGCTGGTTCCTGCAGCGTGCATGCAGCAAAATTACCCATATAACAGAGAGCAGCACAAACGCAAAGCCATGTGAATGCCTAAATTATTTTTATTTACATTCCAGGGGCATTGCCGCGTTTGTCCGATTTTGGGCATTCGTGGTGAAAAATATATATATATATATAAATACAATTTTCTACCTTTCGTAGAAATATAACCTTTGCAAAAAGAGACTCAATAACTAAAAATCTTAACGTGATACAGTGAAACGGTTATGATTTTTAAATCAGCTACTCAAATTAGTCCAATTATGTTCCCAAATATTCGGTTAATAAATTATTGTTGTTCAGTGCTATGAAGCAAGCTTTGACGCATCATGCGAGTTCTTGGCTTAAGTTTTAGCGGCTGCACTCTAATTGAACAACACGGTGTTCTCGGAAATTCATATCCCAAGTTATTGTTAATACCGCCACGGGATGAATAAAATGTTAGTGTGAACGCGGCATGGCGCTGCAGAGGTGATTTATCTGCACTTTGATATTCTGCTCCGTGCCTCACTTTCTCAAATAACTCTCAATAAATTGGTTGAATTCGTGTTCTTCTATTTTATTTCCCATTGCAGATAATCTTTTATCTCATTGTCCGACTTCATTTCGTCTTGACGTGTTATGTGTTTCGATTTGTAGCTGGGATGATAAAAAAAGCGTGTTTATACAGCTGTTTACGCTAATACTCAGAAGATGATTAACAATTTTGTCTCTGAAGTGATTATGCAGTCTGAATCAACTCTCCCTGTATACCAAGTGTTTATAAATTTAACAATCCAGTTTTGACTGCAGGCGTACAAGTTCAATTAATATAAACTTTAAGCTTGTAGAGACGAAACGAGTATGTAAACAAAGTTGTTAGTTAATTTATTATTGTTAAATTAATAATATTTTAATTACAAATTTTCATGCGAACAATATATAATATTCTCATGCGATGAAAGGGAATTGCGTCAATTAAGTCAAGCTTCGAGTTATGAACATTCATTTGAATTACTATCTAAGCTACTTGACACACCTATCGTTAACCGCTTGTTCATGCTAACTTCTCTGTTTCATCACAAACGACTTTACCAAAGTCCTCAAAATTTCTCTCTTTCTGCCAGGCTCCCTCATCAATGATACCTGAGGAGGTAAGCTCGAATCTTTCCATTACTTTACACAAGCCGTGCATCTTAAATTCCAAGTTCTGTGCCAGAGAACATTCACTTCAAAAGTCTTCCTCGTGCTGCACGCCTTTGCATCGTTTGTTAGCCATGTTTCTGACTTTTTGTAATAGCATTGCACTGAGTAATACAGAGTGTGGCGAGATGAAATAAACATCCCATGTGCTCCTCAGCGAAGAACATTTACTCGTGCTTAATTTAACTGCGTCTCGCTCCTATTTCTTGTTCGCAAATCATTAAATTCATGAATTGCTTCAACCAATATTGTCATTTAATTTTCCGTGTGAAGATCGCTGATCACAACGCATTGGAAAGGATTCCGCTCGCATCGATATCTACTTTTATGAAGATCAAAGCACTGCTCGTATCCGTATGGGAGTTTCATTGAATCGGATTTTTTGGGTATATGCTCAAAATTGCAATCATACATCGCAGTACCATTCAAATCTTTACAGGAGGAAATGAGATTGCAGTATCGAGAGATAAGGATCTATTTGCAGTGAATTTTCAATTGCTTTCTTTCTGAGATCGAGTTTCCAATATTTCGAGCTGATGAGTGAAGTGAAACTCAAAGAGAATTTAAGTTTTATTTTTCTTGTCCTATCAGAAACCTTAAGCTTTATCTTTCGGATCTTTGTAACATACAAAACTGTGATATCAAAACGTTTGAAGTTGTAGCAAGACCGGTGGCTTTTGAGTTGAATGATTGTCTAGGAGATCGCAGTTCAGTAGCTCCTGCGGAAACCGCCGCCCTTGCCACCTCCTCCTGACAAACGGACAGAGTATATCAATTGAAGACTACGACAAAACAATTAAAGACTGAGACAAAATAATTAAAGAAAACGACAAAACAATAGAAAACTGACTCAAAATAAATAAAGACTGCGACAAAATTATTAAAGAGTGAGACAAAACAATTAAAGACTAAAACAAAATAATTAAAGACTGCGACAAAACAATTAAAGACTGAAAGAAAATAATTAAAGACTGTGACAAAACAATCAAAGACTGCAACAAAACAATTGAAGCCTACGATGCTTCACGGTGGACACAATTGAACGTCTTTAGATTTGATACATAAAAATCAAGAGAAATTTCACAGCATTTTTTGTTTTAAAATTAAATTAGAATGAACAATCTGAGATATAATGCATAGAGAGGGGATTCACAAAATCTTTATAGTTGAAATCATTATACAATCCTGACGTGTGCACCATTTAATTAAATTAATTAACATATTTAACATGTTCATTGATAAAACATTAGTATCGATAATGAAGCATTGACTAGTTAATGACTACTCATGCCTATAGAACTGTTTCCGAAAGGTGACGGTTTTTCGTGTCGAATATAATATGCAAACAAAAAGTAAAAATTGACGAGCCACGCATGCTCCAATTCCGGACATTGACGCCTGAAAGGTTCTGCAAAATTCTATAAATAATTTTTTTTCAAAACCTTGCCTCATTTCCTTACCTGATGCGAATCCAACAGAGCCACCGTAGCTTCCGTATCCACCACCACCGCGTCCTCCACCGAAGCCTCCTCCTCCCTTGCTGAATCCACCTCCTCCATGGCTGATGCCACCGCCGCCATGGCTGAAGCCACCTCCACCAAAACCTCCCTTGCCTCCAAATCCTCCACCACCAAAGCCACCACCACCTCCACCGTATCCACCACCTCCACCATGAGAAGTTGATGACCCAAGGAATACGCCTTGACCTTTCACGATTGAAACTCCGCCTCCTTTACCATAACCACCGCCGCCGCTGAATCCACCTCCGCCAAATCCACCACCACCAAATCCACCACCACCAAATCCACCACCACCAAATCCACCACCGCCAAATCCACCACCTCCTTTACTAAATCCACCGCCGCTGCTAAATCCACCGCCGCTGCTAAATCCACCACCGCTGCTAAATCCACCACCACCAAATCCACCGCCTCCAAATCCACCACCACCGAACCCACCACCTCCTTTACCAAATCCACCACCACCACCCCCGCCATAGCCTCGTCCACCACCGCCATATCCACCACCTGTAGGACAACACAATGGCAATTACCTTGTCATATGAAGAGGAACACTCGTGCCATTTATTTTTCCGAAGCAGCAATCTCATTATCTTGGATACCAGCCAGAGAGATCTATTGTAAGTTATAGTAATTTTAATATTTCTTATAGTGCTTCAGATTTACATTGAATTTGGCAGCATAAAAAAATTGTATAATGTAAATGATATCAAAATATCGTACGGGATTGATCAAATGTCATATAAGGGGATTGATCAAATTAGGGCTGTGATCCAGTAGCATAATGCGACTTTTTGGAATGCAACAAGTAATGATATATCAAATTACGAGATTAACAAAAATATACGACACCCTGAGTTATAATAACTTTCATCATTAGTCTGCTTAAAGCACAAATTCAACAAGAATTTAAATGCAAAGAAGACGTCAAGGTAATTCACCATATCAAATTCACGTTTTCATCGAAGTTATGGTAAACTTGCTAGGCGTTATCTTTGCTTTTAAACGCTGAGTTATGCGATGCTACAAGTCTCACCGCCAGAGCCGCCCCAGCCTGCGACCACGGCCACCGTCAGCGCCACCACAGCAAGCGTCAGCAATCGAGCCTGCAGGTACAGTTTTGAATCATTACGATCATATCACGTGGCTCCTTTAATATTTTATTAAAAATAATATATCGATTTTGAAGTTATGGTAAATTATAACGATACAGCATAGTTTTCAAATACTTGAGCTGTGATGAAAATTACTTATCAGGTTCGTGATACCTGAGGATTGCGTCCATTACACCCAAAATGTGTTATTTAATACCTAATATGAAGCAAGAAAATTTACTGTTCTTACGTTTTTGGGAATGTAACTAAATATGCTAGCTTTTTCTCACTTCATATGTAGAGTTGAGGCAGACTCTAGCATTTTGTACATGGATGCAAAATCATCATGGTAAGTAATATTGTAGATATGATTGTCGTGTGAGGTTCAGAGGCGAGTATCCTATAATACGCATGAACGGACTTTCAGCAAGGAACGCATAGAGCTATTGACAGCTCGAAACTATCAAGGGAATGTGCTTTATGTATAATATTTTTTATTTTATGAAGTTTTCCTCGACAACGAAAAATTCTGTTTCTACTTCTCGTTCACTGCAAATATTTAGGCGATAGCTGAGCTGAGCAAACTCTGTATAAACACGAACTCTGCAACTACCTGTGAAGTACAGGATTAGAAAATTACCAGACAAAAATGAAATTTTATTGTCGGAAATGTCCAGCAAAGAATAAAAATTAAAAATTCCGAACACTGGAAAGAACCTGCAATTACGTTTTCCTTGATCAGAGCGGCCTGTCGAAGTCTTACCATGTTTCCCAGTTGGATGCTCGAGTTGACTATGACTTGAACTGCGGACGCTTCCTTTTATAGCTGCCGGCCGGCGGCGCTGCAGCGATGATACGGCAGGCAAAACTGATCACCGGCACCTAAGCTGGCGGACCTTCAACAGAGTGACCCTGAGCTTCAGTTTATGCTGACTCTAATGGATTATTCTTTTAGGTTCTAAAGCTTAAATCGTTGTCAGTCTGTTCTCTCGTCACGGAAAACGTTCGTATTCACTAAGACCTATTAGACATGAAAGATTTATAAGAATTTATAAGAAATAAATCTAGTTTTTATAATCAATTATAGTTAGCCCTGGAATTACTGAAACATTATTTCCAGTTACATACATTCTCACTGTTGGTGTACCAGAAACGATTATGCATTCTGCTGTCTTCTACACTTTAAAACAAACTGTTTTCTCAGATTCATCAGACATTTTATGAAATATTATATTTACTGTAATAATTTCAGTCTTGGATGAGACTGAAAGACCTCGCTTCAACGCAAATGCCTTGATTTCCATAATTTTTGAGGTCTTACATATTTAAATATAATTTAAATTCACGACGCCCAGTTTCTCAATGTCATGCCCGCAGCATGAAACAATCACGATATCTTAGTAGCAATTTGTTCTTGTTGTTCTTTGCACTATATATTACTTGCTGTAACTGTAAACTATTTTTGTGCTGCGTATAGTATGGAAAATAAGTATGCTATCGAGGATGAATATAGGAATAATTTAACCGACTGCTAGCACAGCCATCCAGAGCAATGAAGCCGACAAGCTCGTGCTCTGTTAGCTCTGGTATAACGACAATATGTGAAATTCAACGTATATTTCTTTTTAAGTAGAATGCTTCATCTCATGTCGAAATGATTCATGTACTTCCAATCTCTTGCATAAATGATAATAATCGAAATGAATTACACGTTGACGTGTTGATTTTGATGTTCACATATGACGGTCGTGTTGGCATACATCAATGACTTTTGACGATAAATTCACTGATTAAAGTTGAAATTACGCTTGTTAAAGTATTACTTCTTCGCAGCCTCTGCATCAAAGAGCAAGTGAAATCGTCAAGTTATTGGTAACCTTCGGCCGATCGGCTCCTCGCAGTATCTCTTCAATACATCAAAAATACGTAAACTAATTAAGAAATTACGGTGGACTATTTCCAAGTCACTTGGAAATAATTAGTGAATTAGACTTTCGAATTGCCGAATTTTTTTCAACGCTTAATCTAATATTTATATTGTTGGTCTATCAATAACTGAATTTTTCTTGTTCGCTGCTCTCTATAATGATCCCTGGGCTCCCTTCAATGATTCCAAAATTTTAGGGAGATTAAGAGTCAATCTTTACACTTGTAAAGGTTTATTCAGGTAGGAGTAGGTTAGCGTTTGCGCGAGGTTAGTTAATCAGAAGCTGGAGTGGAGAGGTATGGCCGCGGGATGGTCGATCGCCTGCAGTTCAGTAGCTCGTGGAGTAGCTGCTGCCCAGGTAATTTCCTCCTGCGTAGGAAGAAACAAAATTAAATTAATGATAATAAAAACGATTTACATGAGTGGATTGAATTCTGTACCCGACACAAAGGAAAAACTTTATTATGAAAAAACCTTAACTTTTACGAAATTGCAATTATCAAGTCAACATTCAATGATATTGTTGTTTTGATATGATATTTGTATTTCACATGTAAACTTACATTAAATAAGTGTTTGTGTTATTTTGTTGGATAAGCATTAATTAAATAAAGTTTTTACTTTGTGTCGGATACTTTTTGTACCCACTATAATTAAATCCGCGGTTATGTTAAAGCACGCGCTTATTTGATTCGCAATATTGAAGTAGCGTTGAAAGAAGCTTCCAGCAATATATATAAGCATTCGCACACATAGTATTTTAAGTATGAATAAAATCTGCTCTCTCTGCTTTTGGTGCAAATATTTTTTAAAATTGATCGAATTTTAAAAATCACAGAAAAAATTCTCTGAAGCGAAATGGCCGTAGATGAACCTCTATATAAACCCACCGAAACCACCGAAGCCTCGGTTAAATCCATTATTGAAGCCAATTCCACCATAACCGTAGCCTCCTGGGATGTAGCTTCCACCAAATCCATTGCCGAATCCATTACCATATCCAATTCCGTAGCCACTTCCGTAGCCACTGCCGAATCCATTTCCGTAGAGACTTCCGAATCCATTTCCGTATCCATTTCCATATAGATTTCCGTATCCATGTCCAAATCCGTTTCCAAATCCACCTAGATCATATCCATGAGAGATGGATGATCCGAGGTGGATTGGTTGACCTCTAGTGATGTAGCTTAAACCGCTGCCCAATCTGTTGCCGAAACCTCCGCTTCCGTAGCCGCCGGTGCTGTAACTAGTGCTGACGAGTCCGCCATGTCCTGAACGCAATGTCGTAATAAAATCAATATTCATAGTTTAAAAAAGACTGAAAATGCACCTAATTCTTTTTCTTGTCATCATTTATCATCTAAGTTTTGACGTAGAGTAGCAAACTTCAATAATATCAATTATATAAATTTTTGTAAACGGATTTCATACACACAAATATTGAAGCCGTTCGTGCAAATTTTGATGTTTATGTGACTTTTTTATCAGTGAAGAATGCCCGATATATTTTTATTATTTTTTATAACATGAGATGAGTTTGTAAGAACTTTCTATAATCTGCACGTGGCTATTACGAGTAGGTACATCAAAATCAATCAAATATGAAATGAAGCGCTTCTTAAGTATCCTCAAAGTACCTGCAGAACCTTTGATTAAAATGTAATTCAATTTGAATCACTAAAACGGAAGCCAATTATGTGACCTCATATGCAGACTGCGTAACGGACCGTCCGTAACAACGATGACATCATCCTGCATCCTTCAGAATAACATCACTGAATTCTTCGAAACCTTGGAGGTAAAGTTTTGAATGGGGGATGGCGGTTTGATTGAATGATTTTTAGTGCAGCTATTTATTTTTTTTACCATCAATGTTAACGTAAAATTTTATATCACAGCCTTAGTGTGATATTACGTATAGTTTGACGACTCCAATAAACTTTTATTCTAAATTTACGAGACTAGCAGAATTTCTCACCGACTGAGGAGCTGTCATATGTGGCCGCTGCTACGACCACTGTCAGCGCCACCACAGCCAAACTCAGCATACGAGCCTGCACATAAAATTCATTTTTCTATGGTAATTATGCATTTTCATAGAAGACTTTATATGAATTAAGTATTCTGTCCTCTTGCAAACTATTTCTGCTAAATTCAATCATTGATGTCAAATGAATTCTATCATCTTGTATAAACTTACCGTAATTTTGGGGAAGATTATGGAAAAGAAACGCAAAAATGCAGTTAATACGTAATGAAATATTCGTGGAGTTATTGTTAAACAAGAGGTATATATATACTGTCATTAATGGTTACCTCGAATAATTTACTGCCAATGCTCTTAAATAGACTACTTTTTTGACATGTCCCGTAATAAGGCACTTCAGAATTCAAAGTAGGTAATCAAAAAATTATTCAAAGCTTACTCCTTGGTTTTGACCGAGAAAGCTGCATTAATTTTCTTCATCTCATTTGATATTGAATGTTCATAATTCAAATGCTCTTTTCTAGCGTGAAAATAATACTAACATGAGTCAACCCATGGAACCAAAGCTAACTTATTGAAGAAATGTACTGAAGAAAGAATTTGTAGCCCATGTGCTGAGAATATGAGTTCGAGTAACTCTTCCAAATGTCGAAGCTAGACGGCGTCATGATTAGCCGCCGCAGTAGTCGATGATTCTACAGTCCCTTATCAGACAGAATAGACGACAAAAACAATGAAAATTACTTGATTTCTGTCTTTTCTGATATATCAACTTCGTGTTGTCGCTTAATTATTAACGAATTTGAACTAAGACCGCATTTGATTATACAGGAGAAACTGTACTTGGCAATACAATTAAGTTAGCAGTTGTTATATTTTGAGCCCCCGTAAGTTACGTGGACATGTCACATGAGGCAGGCATTGTTGCCCGAATATTTTGGACACATCTGTCTTGGACTTCAGTGACTCGCGTTCGTCCTGACTCTAGTTCCCTGGTTAAATTTGAAATGTGTTCGTGCCCTGGTCCAGCCAATCAAATGATGTAAGTTTAAACGAGATCCAATTAAACTGAATAGACTTTTGGTGATCAATCTAACACACGCTTAATGTCAATGAAGATGCTGTGAAGCGTCTGAGCTAGGAATGAGCTATCCAAGCTGTGAATAGTCGAGAATGGGTTACGCCTGTAATTTTAGAGCAATTCTCACCATGTTTTCCAATCTGCAGACTAGATGTGAATGCATACTGTTGCTTGTTGGTTATCCGTATATATAGCCACAGGTTGATTTCGTCAGGACTACATACATGTTAACTAAGTGATTTTATTTTCCAAGTCTGGCCTCAATTAAAGCAGATTTACTGAGCATATTCTCAACAAACGGCACTCGACCGTCTGACGTACATACCAAGTAATAGTGGACAAAGCGAAGAATGGAAACGGGAGGGGTGCTTTTAATAAGATTGTTCGTATGTGACTGGATTAACCTTGGAAGTAAAAATTTAGCGCTGAAATTGCCCTGACTATCGCGTTTCTTTAAGAAATGTCCGTTTGGATCAGCATCATGCTACTTTCTCTACTGAACTCTGGGGGCAAGTTGATGGCGTTTAAAAAAAAATTCGAATGAAAATGAGACCATGAAACAAATTTAATATGCCTTTCCTACAAAGTGGAGTGGTTCCATGATAATGTACATTAAAATTAACATGGAATCCATTCGCGTCATGATTCCATGGAGAAAAGGTTTTTTATTATCGCATTTTACTGATCTGTGATTAGCAAGGCCAATTGAACTAATTTGCATGCTACAGTATTTACTAGTTGTTAAAATTTGCCGAAGAGTTAATCATTACTTCAACCGATGAGTAGCCACAATCGAACCATCGCACCTAAAATGGCCGTCAGTGGAAACTGGGCAAGTCCCATAATTTTTATCACAGTACATTAAGTCTCGTGGTCACTGTTCACCGTGGCATTGTGGACCATCAAGAACTTATGACAAACAGTCAAACACGATAGCGATGACATAATCGTAATATTACGAGAGACCAAATCAAGCAGTATATGCTTACAGATTCAGAGAAACCTCGCTTATTTTAAAACGTACCATTGATTAATTGGTGCTTCTTGCGTGGTTGGCTAAGCTCGTTTTCAGGTTCAATGTTTAAACCGTCCTTAGTCGGGCCGGACCTCAGCGACGAAAAGTAACCTCTGGACTGACACCGTAAGTTTCACGTTAAGAATTCCAATTAGGAACCGAGAATAATTTTTTGGAAACATTTTGAAGAACTTTTGTAAGAAAACTATCACTTTGTGGGATAATTTTGTTCTGCGTATACTCACCAGCTCGTCACTGTGATTCTCGTCTAATCAATGTACAAGAAGCTAGTTTGGACATCTCGCGGTTCTTTCAAGGTTCATAAATTGTACACCGGATACGCTTAGTAATTCGTCCTCAAAGGCAATAGATTGCAAGTTAAAGGCCGATATCCATTTGAACTTCCATTGTTTTCTGGCTGGAGCTGGTTCAGGAATATAAATTGAGGTGAATTGATTGCTTCCTTTGTGGTTAGTTGACCAGCCTGTCACTGAATGATTATTTCAGACCAATTTCTCACGACTATATATTCACACATCCTTGTAGCGGGGAAAAAAATTAATGAGATTTGCCAAGATCTACAGCGAATTTTTCTCGCTTCTATAAATAACGAATAAGATCCACTTCACATTCTGAGAATTTCCCAGATGAGAGATTTCCGCGAGAAAAACTCGTAATATATTCTCTTGGAATTATAATTTTTGCTTTTGTAAGTAGGAACGCCTTCAAGTTCCTAATTTCAGTGACTAAAATTTGTACTTTATTTCGTGTTTACTTTCAAGCGTCGTCACGACTCGAACTTATACTGGAGTTGTTTTACATGAATGAACATTAATTGGCAACCCATGGAGGTTTCGAGTAACTATTGTCCAATACGTAATTACGGCACAAAACAAAAAACATACGATTATTTACTTTATTAATTACCATTGAAGCTACACAAATACTTATTCGAGCTGCAGTGTGGACGTAATGTTGGTTAACATCGCCAGCACTCGCCTTGGCTGAGACGGAGGTTGAGGGACTCACGCCGGCAAAGTTTGGGATATAACATAACATAACATAACATAACATAACATAACATAACATAACATAACATAACATAACATAACATAACATAACATAACATATTGATCTCGGCGCTGAAGTGTAGGCCTGATGTAGCATGTCGCCGATTCTTTTCCTTTCCGTGCCTTGTTCACAGAAGATCTAATATCGTTTCATTTGACCGGATAACTTCATGACTGACGATAGTTTCAAGTAGCTACTAGACTTCCACCGGGTTCGATATGGTGCTAGGCATTTCAAATCTGAACATACATTTTTCCATAGCTTTATCTAGTCTGTTCTTGAACGCGTTCATACTTGGAGCGCCAACGATGTCATCGGGGAGGCTGTTCCACATGTCGGTGATTCGAAGCGAGAAGAAATTTTGTCGCGTGGATTTTTCGATGTTCATCCGAGGGATAAAATAGACGACGGATGGACTGGCTTAGAAGATGAAACTTGATGCCTGCGCAACTTCCAAGTAAAAATATATATAAATAGAATAAATATTTATTTATTGTTTAATTTTTGCCTGGTTTTTCAATTGCAGGAAGAATTTGATCAGCGTCCACGCAAATATTTATTTTAGTTAAACCTTATTGTTCTGTAAAATCTTTTATTAATTTAGAGCGGGGTGGTGACGCCCTTTGTTGCTTATACAAGCCACACACACACACAATATACAGCAGTGTTTTGTATGACACTATAATGTCGTGCATCTTTTTATGAGAAGCCGGCATTTCGCAATTTCAGCTATGAATGGGCAGGGTCGGTCTGGCATAATAGATTAATTTAATACTGAAAAAACGCTTAGAAGTTAACTCTGTGAGGTCCTTCCTGGACACTTGAGATGGATTATCTTCCTGGGCTTGAAAAGATACGTTTTATTCTTAAATAATTCACTGCGGAGGCCTCCGAACGACTCGTGAGGCTTCAAGGTCAACACGGCGATTTGCGACGATGTGACCTTGAACGATCGTGAACGAATTGCTGCTCGTCGAGGGTCTCGGTCACGTTATATTCAACTTACCTCTTGATCGGCCTTACACTGTACACGGGGAAATAAGTTCCATATCGAACACGGGAAATCTGCCGTCTTACTTAGACGGCACTGTTACAAAAACCAAATACTGTTGCAATAACCTTACTAATACTGTTTAATAATCAAATACTGTTACAATAACCTTACTATATTACTATACTTACTGTTACAATAACCAAATGTTATTATAACATTTAATTCAGCAATAGAAGAATTGAACATTTAATTAACGTCAATAATTCGTAAATAAAAATTAAAGGATATCTCAACGCAGTGTATATATCTAGTGATCTCCACATATAAAGAATGAAAACAAGAAATCACTCGAATCGTGAATTTCACGCCTACTGCTTACATCTAATTATTAGAAAAATAAAACTCTGGGGATTGAAGTTTCGTAACAATTTCTGCCGCTTCTAGTCATTGATGTCTGGGTTATAGTGCACATGTCGTTGAAATGCACCTTACCCTCGAGTTTACCTAGGCAACGATCAATAAATAAGTTTCTCTGTTCTTCACCGAACTTCCAAGCTTTCATGGCTCATGCATACCAAGCTCATTGGTCATGAGCAACTAATAAGAGCCTCAAATCACACAATCACGTTGTTAACTTCACGGTTGTTGACATAGCAACTAGACTTTTAATACCGTGACGACCCGTGCGTCTCACGTAGGCTGCAAAGCACTTCATGCATCCACGACTGAAAATTGAAGAGATCGCTCGTCCATTATTCTCGTTCACAAGCTCATAAAATCTAGTGAAATTTGTTTGACATAAAGTTCTCAGTCTAAAGTGTGAGGTAACATTACGGTTAGTGTGTTCATTGGTATTCAAAACTTAGCTCATTTAAAAAAATTAGTTGGTTTTGTGTTTGATTGTAGGAGGTCGGAGTGAGGAATTGATGGCGATGCCACACTGTGATGATGCCCATCAATGTAAAGGAGAAGAATAAAATTTATCATAGCATTAGGTGTGAGAGCAACATATTGAAATTGTATAATGATGCCAAACACGAGTTTATAATTCAAATGCGAAGATCAGGAATGAGGGAATAACACTACAAAATTTTTAATAAATTTTGGTCTTTGCAGGAGCAAATACTTTGAATTCTGTCAAATTATTTCATGTAGAACTTCAGTATTTGATTAATTATTGCCGTCATGAAAAATTTACTCTTCTTAGTAGGAAGCTTGGTCTCACGATTCATTGTAAATATCAGTAAACATTTGTCTGCACTTCCTTTTAAATTTGCTACCCGAACGTAGAAAACACGCGTCAGTGCCTCAATTTTGTTAAATAATCAGCAAAAACTTAATCAGATTTTAATTTAATTCATAAAAAGTAAATATCTTGAGAGATGATGAATCAACCCACGAAAATCAGAGTGGAATAATTTGCAGCATTTTTTACATGAAAATGTTGTCAGAGCATCAAGTGAAGTGTGCGTTGATTTGTTGATGATGTTCTTTTGTTGATGAATTGGAACATCGAGCGCCGTCCCGTCAGGAGCGAATTGAGTGCCTTGCGTAATTTCGGTCTTTTCCGTTCTGGATTTTCCGAATGGCGTTAGATTTGGCTTTAATAAAAATGCAAAAAAAAAAATTCTCGACGTTTATTGAAGATTCATGTGGTAAGATAAGCTGAAAAAATACATTTGTTCAGCTTAATTGAATATATTTTTAATTTCTTATCTTGCTCTGTTATAACAACAGGTAGTTATCTATATAGAGAGGATAATTTATTTCGCTTCATTTTCATTTGTTGCACGGAAAAATATAATTTGCAGTAGAACATTCGATAAATTTGTTTATTTCATTAATTTGTATTAAATTAGAGCATTTGTATTCGTAAAGAAAATAAAAAAGCATACTACAGAACCATTTTCAACTTTTCATCCGACAATGCTTGAAACTAAGTAAATGTTTGTAAGCACTTGCTTTATTTACTGAGAAATTCCACAGTAAATCCTGATTTCAAATTTACGTGAGTTCACTATAGCGGATCTTAAAGATCCATATCGCTCAGTGACTGAGTATAGAGAATATTGCAGTGCATTAAGATTGACTGCATCACTCATTATTTCGACTGTT